CGGCCTCGGGAAGATGTTGGTCCTCTTGCGACAGGAGGGCTGCCGTGGCCTCCAACCAGACCCGGCGGGGGGGGGGCGTTTATCTTGCGGGCTGACCTAACGCCGAGAAGCCCGTGCGAACCAGGCCAGCAGTTTCCAGCTAGGGAGAAGGGGAATGCCTAAGAAAAACACTGGGGTGCTCTGGCCTCTGGATGAAGTCTTCCTCCTCTGTAGCAGACGTGAAGAATGTGATGTTTATTCTTGACTCAACAGGGAAAAGGAGGTGTGCTTTGCCAAAAACTTGGCTTAGGGAAATGAGCTGGCTTGGGGATGTAGGGAGTCCCAGCGAGGAGCTGGGATTTGGGGTGGGGGGAGGATGGGAGCGGGGCCAGCTTTGCTAGGGCTTGGGCGCAGCTCCTTTTCTGAAGAAGAGACCGCATGGCTTGTTACCCTGAAGGAGGGCAACAGCCCTGTAGATGTCTGAGGCAGGCAAGAGAACCGGCTTCCTCAGAGCTAGTTTGCATCCTCCTATCAACCCCCAATCTCAAAACAAACTTCCCAAGAAGGCAGGAGAAACGTCAGCCTCGCACACTACCGAAATCATTGGTTCCTGCCTAAGAGCAGCTGATGCAGAGTCAGGAAAGTTGGGCGCCTGTGGACTGTCTTTAGTGGAAGAAACCATTTATTTAGAGAAGTGTAAAGCTACTTTTCAAGTCCCCATCCTATGAATGAACTGTGGAGAGGGGTTCAGTTGCTTGAACAGACTTTACTAATGCTTCCCTGTACCTTTAAGGGGATTCTGCATTTAATTCATGGTCTTTCTGGCATGCAGCACGTGGAGCGAAGACACTACGGGGTGTGTAACCCCTTACCACTGGGGTACAGGAGGCAGAAATTGCTGAAGAGTGATTATGACCACAATTGCTAATAACTGTTTTCTAGCAACCACTGCTTGGTAATGAATTTTATCAGAGGCAGAAGGGATCCAACAGTAAGATCAAGACAGTAGAAGTTTTTCCATTTGGCTCACCGGGATTAATATCAAGTCCATTAGAACAAAGAGAGGTCATTGTATTTTGGCAGGGGGGGATTATCTCACTGCTTAAAGTTAGTTAACACTTAAGTCTAAAAATACCATTTGCAAAAGGACAGAAATTTGTAGTATATAATTCATAATAAAGAGCTGTACTAAACTATTGTGGATTGTTGGGTACAGATGGAAATTCTAGTTTAAGAGAACAGCAAATCCATGTGATTTGCAGCCTTTTTAATGGAATGATTACATAATGTCTATAAAATGAATAATTTCTCTTCTAGGACTTTATGGAGATTTGGATACTCTGCCAGACTACTGAAAACTAATCATTTTAGGACAGCTGCATCAAATACATCATTTCCAGCAGTTTGGATGGTATTGGCGCAATATTCTGGCAGAATACCTGGGCTCTCTGTAGTAGTAAAAAAAAAAAGTTTTTCTACAATGCCTGAAACTGTGGAGGATAAAGCTAATCTAGAACTGTATTCGCCGCATCCTGAAGTGCGTGGGATGACACTACTCAACAGAGAAGCTTTTAAAAGGACAGTTGTTGTTCCAGTTCTTAAAGTCAAGAAAGAAATTGTAAATAGTTTGCTAAAGTCCCTAAAACATATGGTACTACAGCGTCCTGGTCTAAAGCGAGTGGTTGAGGATCCCGAAGACGAGGACAGTAGACTTGTTATTTTGGATCCTCATAAAATACCAGAATTCTCATTGGGAGAATCGGAGCAAGAGGTATTAAAACAGCTTAATGTTTGTCCTGAGGTGTCCAAGTATAACTTAGAGCTGACTTACGAGAATTTCAAGTCGGAGGAGATCCTACGAGCAGTCCTTCCTGAAGGTCAAGAAGTCACCTCTGGATTTAGCCGTGTGGGTCACATAGCTCATTTGAATCTTAGGGATCATCAGCTACCGTACAGACATTTGATTGGTAGGTAAAACAACTCTTCTCCACAAAAGTAATTCGTATATTTTGTCTGTTGTTAAAAAGATATTTTAACAATTATTCTACCGATAAATTATTCCTTGCGCAAGGAAAACTTTTGAGCGCTTTTCCTTGCTTTGTATTTGGACTTTAAATAGCCTTGTGCTGATGCTGTAGCTGTGCACAGAAGGCACAGTTCTCCCCTCCTGCAGTAATTGTGGTCTCACTTCACTAAGCCTGGGGTCAGGGTAAAGTATGTGCCTTAGAAAGATGTTGTATCTGCAACCCTGAATCATCAGAGGAAGGTTGTTCTAATACATGCTTACTTTTGTTAATTTAACTGTAAACAGCAGTGTTTGTATCTCTTGTAGAACACTAAGAGGTTGTAGTCCCTTAACCGGAATATCTTTTGTCCTCTCTTTCAGGCCAGGTTATAATTGACAAGAATCCGGGAGTCACCTGCGTAGTGAATAAAACCAATATTATTGACAGCACATACAGAAATTTTCAAATGGAGGTGCTCGCTGGAGAGAGCAAACTAGTAACCAAGGTACAGGTGGTTTTCCCCTGTTATTTTAAACTTAATATGCTAAACCCCAAAGACATCTGCTGGAAGGATGTGATGAAGAGATGCTAGTAAGACCATTCCTTTGCACAGTGCCCTTCCTGACACTTGTTTTAGAGTGTAAGAGTTGGCAGTTACTTCTACGTTCGTTTGTCCTGGTCTGCCAAGAGCAAACCCTTAACCATAGGGATGATGAAGATACGTATTCTTTCAAGTTCGCAGCCTAGATTTTAATGATATGTAAAAGCCACTGAAGTAAAGGTTTCTTTCAGAGATACTCATTACAGACTTGTAGCAAGGGGTGTGTCTTAGTCTAAAGCCAAAATATTTAGTGGATTTGATCTAAGAAAATGTTGTTTCTTAATTTCACCAAGCCTTGTACAGTGGCTGGTATAGAACATGAGACCGTGTTTTTAAATGTCACTGGCTTTGCAACGCAGGCAAGATTTTGCCTATGCCTTTTCCTTTTCTGTCAGCAGCAAGACAAACCTCATCTTCTCTGTTTTGACATTTTTCAGGTGTAAAGCACTATGTAACTGCCAAGCATTCCTTACGTAGGGCTTCTTGTCTGTAGCTGGAAACTTGGCCACTGGTTTGACCAAAAAATACTTTTCCTAACTGTTAGCAGTTTTATACTTTTAGAAGAGAAAACATTAGATTACCAAATAAAAAAGTTTAATAGCTTGGTAGAACATCCTGTACATGCACAGAGAAGGCATTTGAATCGTCAAGGGGGAAGTGACAATCAAATATGCCGATGGTATTAGCTCATTAAGCACACATGTAGCATGCCACTGAGCTGCACGCTGAGGAGCGCAGGTACACTTCGGTGTGTTACTTGCTGGCAAAGCAAACGATGCAGTGATTGGGATCCAAAGTTCCTTTACTTCGGAGTCACACAATTCGAGCGTGGTGATGCAAAGTGAGCGT